AGCTCGGTCTGGAAAGTCAATCGCAGACGTTCATCCGGCTTGTTGATGACTGCTTTGATGTCCGTGGGCACGACCGTGAACGGCGGCAGCTTGATCGACACCTCTCTCGTTGCAAAGGGCTTTGCATCGGCAGGTATCTGGGGCACATCTTTGCGCGTGGTATTGTTCGTGAGGCCCAGTCCATTGGTGATCGACGCTAAGGACGTGGTGATATTTTGCATCTGGAATCCTTCATCTGGTGCGGGATCGAAATGCTCGACCAGCACCAGCGTGAGCGGATTGTTGCTGACATTGCGAATCGTAACTGGAGGGGCCATATTGGGCAGCTTCTCTTGTCTTTGGAGGTCGTTGGAAAATTTAAAAGATGTGTATGGGGGCGCTCTGGAAAGATGAAAAAGAAATGATAAAGGGAACTCGGTGTGATGGCAGCGAATGACAAGGATCGGCCTAGAGCTGCACCTTTCAGCTGAGATGAATGCATTCGCGGCCTTCTAGGCTTTCTGGAGCTCCAATCCTTGCCTGGAATCCGAGAAGCGAATGGGATCGACGAATGTCTTCGTGGGGCATTTTGGTCGTCGTGATCTGCCGCCAATCGCATTCCTTACCGAGCGGTGATGGTGCTTCCAGGGGTTTCAGCTCCTGGTGGCTCCAAGTAAGAGAATTTGTCAAAGGATTCGAGGCTGCGAGTGGGCACATTGCGATTCGCTGGGTTCGCTGGTGATGTTCTGGTTGAAAAGAAGTGGTCGAATAGACATGGTGGTCGCAATATACACACACAATATATAGTATGTAGAACTGTTCAGGCATCTTCATCCTTGCCTTCACACAGAATCTGTCCCTTCCAGATCGCTCGAACAAGAGCCCATACCACCATAAGCCACAATGCGAATAATAGCGCCGTCATAACACTGCTGACCCATTTGATACCAGGACTTTCTAACGCCGTCCCAACTGCAGTCGTGGCAAGCGCAAGGCCTGCGTTGGGGAAAACAAACCCCCACCAAGTAAGCGTGAAGGACATGGTCTTGATCCCGTTGATGACAGAGACGGTGGTGATGGCGCAGTACCAGAAAGCAAGCAACCAGAGAAAGATTCCTGCAGTGCTGCCAGTAACGCGAAGAACCTCAGGTGCAGAGATGGTCTTGACACCCAGAAAGTCATCAGGGAGGACGGATGTCGCACGTTCGGACAGCAGGACCAGGCCTGTTGCAGTATATGCTGTCGGCCCTACTGCGACATACATGCCAGGCCGTTGAGATGGCACTGGAAGATCGGCAGAGAACAGACGAATGACCCAAATCGTATAGAGGAAGACGCTGACCATCCACCCGAGGCCTTGAAACGTAACCCCAGCGACAAAGATAGGAATCCCGGCCATGGGCGGTTGGTTCTGCAGAATCACCCCCGCCAGTGGTCCTGCGACTATGAGAGGATACATGGGTAAGATCCATGCCGGTGACATCTCTTGGATACCGATTCTTTGCGTGACGAACAGAAGGTCATACTGAAAGATCGCAAAGACCAGGGTCAACCCGCAGTAAACCCAGAAGCAAATCTTGATCGCCGTGTCAAGCCACTCTCCGCAACCGGCATAATGACCGTATGAGTTTGCACCCTGAATGATAAGGCAGACCGAAACCCAGAATGTGCCAACGAAGAATGCTTCCCCAGGATGGACGAAGGAATGCCGAAGCGAACCATGTGCCACAATAAATCTCCTCGCTATCAACGCTGTAAAGGAGACGAACATGATCAGGTCAATGATGAAGATGACTTTTCCGATTGTGACCAGCCCTTGGAATTTGTAGGGTGTCTGGTAGATGACATTCGCCAACGATCCTGTGGCCATGGTTGCCGCGAACCACGCCCATGTGAAATGATTCAATCTGTTTGTGATTGGCGACCGTTGCTCCTGTATTGGCACAGACTGTAGCTTCTCTTCATCCCGCCGAACAGTCCGCGCAGGGTTCATTTTGCTGGGCTTGTAACGAGAGCCTGCGATGTAAAGATAGCGGTAGTGGTGGGGAGAATGTGCATGGTCGATACCATCCACCGGAACAATAGGTGCGTCAGTTCTATTTCTTCCACGCTGTGTCCATCTATACCACTCAAAACACGAAATGACCTATAAAGCTTCCAGTACAAACACGTATGAAATGAGCATCGAGTTCAGGGCGGTCAAGATGAAGAAAAGCAGGTCAAAGTGACTGTGACATCATAACGTGTTGAGCGCTTTGTAATGACAGATATCATTGTCTTTTGAAATTGAGAGCCTCGTGGTGTTGTCAACGTGGAGCCCCGAACGTGTTGACGGATAGAGCTACCCTCCGTAGTAAGTGTTACCAGTGTGATAATGTTGGTGGATATTATGCTGGTAGCAGTGACCCTTGGAAAGAGTGAAAAGCAAGCTGAACCACGGATACTGGTCAAGGTCACCGCTCCACCAGCACCTTCGTCCTTCGTTCCCTCACATCGTCCTGCCAACCTATGGAATGATCTTTGCCGCTCTCATTCTGTCAAAAGCAATTCCATAGGCTTTGACAGTGTCGATTGTTTCCTCGAATCCCACTGCTCGAGCCGCGCTCAGGTCGTAGTGCCGATCAAAAAATGCCTTGTCCATCATAACATCTAAAAAGGGCCAGTAATACAAATCAGGGCGACTGGCTTTGAGGCCTTCCCTCTTGACTATAGTGTTCCAGACATCAATGTGCTTCTTCACAAATTCTGCTGGTGGCTCGAAAGTGCCCTGAGGACCAATCCCTTCAAGGCCAAAGTAAGCGCAAATTCGAGGCCATTTGTCAGCCCAAGTCATCACGTCCCCGTTTGCCACGTTGAAGGTTTTGCCAGAGCCGCACTTGTCTGGATTCACCGCTGCGAAGATCTCCATCTTGGCTGCGATGTCTTGAAAGGTGTCTGTATGTTTGTGACGATAGCCATGCTCAGCCCCAGGATACGGAATCTTGGCCCCAACTCCGTGGACTTCGCGATACAGACTGAGGTAGAATGCCAGGCCTTGTGCGATATTCATCACATTGGTCCCTGGCACGAACCCAATCATGGCATCCGGCCTGATTTCTGTGAATGTCCACGATGCTCCCCTGGACAGATTGGCAAGGACATCATACTGTGAGTAGTAGAAAATATCGTCGGCTAAGGGCATCGGGACACGGGGGTAGGTCTCCTTGAGTGGCGCCACGATTTTCACGACATCGGGTCGTTCTATGGGAACAGTTAGTCGGATTCAAGGAGAGTAAGAAACCGAAATACCTAGTCCATATGACTTTCCGCCAGTTTGTAGGATGAAGCTCTTGATATTAGGAGAGACTTTTTGTATAGCCTCAACAGCGGTTCGGATCAGATTGGTATTGACCTCTTTGAGTGTCTTGTGGTCCTTCCCCGGGTCAAGGTAGACAAACAAGAAAACGTGGCTAACAGTGGCGATGTTGGAGACCTTTTGCTTCAGCATCTCAACAACAGTGTCGACTGGTGCAGTGAGATCAATGCCACTGGCTAGGTGTAGTCGTGGATCATCGGGCCAGTGAGCATCTGAAATGGACAGGGGACGATTGGAGAGAGCGGTGACTTGGCTGAAAGTGGTGGGAGTGGGATAGCTCAGAGCCTCTTTCACGAGAGCCCAACCTGATATCCCAGAAGCACCAAAGACGAGGGCATGAAAGTTGGTCGACATTGTTTTCGCGCAATGATCGCGGTTTCTCGAGTAGATGGACAGTTGATGAAAGCGAACAAACTGTGCTCCATGTTTCGCTCCATGTTTATATACCTTGCTGTGAGCATATTCAATAAAGCGTTACCTCACCATAATCACGCAACCTCATGGAACCAACCACCTCGTATAGACTTAGTGGTCTCGTACATCGAGACGACTGTGGTAAGATGCTGCCAGAGTAGGAACCGTTCATTGGTTCATCCTGTCACCAAGCCCCTTTCAAGAACGTCCCCAGAAAGGCAGGTGGAGACTTCTGGTTGATTGCTTAGGTGTACAAAGCATCTGTCTAGATCAGAGTAGGTGGATGTGGTTCGATCAGGGCTCTGTAGAGCTTCACAGCCCGTCGTACTTGCAATAAATCGGCCGAAACGGACGAAAGTGTACGAGGTATATTGATGGTCCTCTTGCAGATACGGAGGTTTGCCGGTAGAGGGGGCAACAAAATGCATTTTGTAATCCCAATCTTTCTCAGGGCCTCGGTGAGAACATGTACATACTGACAAAGCCTACTATGGGATTTGGAGGTTGTACAAAAAGTAGCGAGTACGTGAAGTTGGAGTAGTGAGTCAAGTGAGTGTAGCGTGAAGCAGTCGGTGATGGCGTCGGAAGAACTAGCAGTCCGACGGGTATAATACGTAAGGCCTTGACATGCATGGGGCCCACTTCAAAAATGGGCATTATATATTGAGGACCTACCAATTTATTGCCAGAATTCATCACACAAAGCAACGTGGCGCAGCGGAAGCGCGCCGGGCTCATAACCCGGAGGACCTTGGATCGAAGTATGTTCCTCTCACCTTGAAATTGCTCGGCATCACAAATACTAACAGAAGATAGACCAAGCGTTGCTATGGTATGACTTGATGTTTTTTTTGGTCTGTTGATATTGTGGTGAATTTTGCAAATGGGAAGTGCGTGCGGGGGAGCGGTGCGGAGAAGCACAAGGCTGCCAAGAGATAGAATCTTGCTAGTGAAGAGCCATTATTTGCATACATGGTCAGCAAATATCAAAAACCTGATCAACAGGAATTTCAAGGCATCTTGGACTTACAATTTACGTCAACCTCTTATCAAATAAGCCGCTGAGCCACTTAATGAGAACATTTGACATATCTCTGCTCTATTTGTCCCTTCAAACACAACTTCAAACTAGCCTCGCGCCCCGGATCTGATCTACAACTCACCTCGGATGTGAACTGAAGCGACGCGTCGAATCCGACGATGTCTTTCTTACACCTACAGCTTTGTCCCCAACCTGTAAACGTGCTTTTCAATGACTGAGGCCCGGCGAAAGGCTCATCACGTCCACGAAACGAAGGTGCTGAGCTATGGACACCTTGGTACCGCCGCTTATGATGACCAGAACCACAAATGGACGTTCCTGCGCCAGTACCAGACCCAACATGGTGACGGTCTGGAGGCGCGGGAGAGCCAAACGAACTCTCCTCCTTTCTTGTTGGCAGATGAAAGAACCTGGAATGCTGAGCCAGACTATGTTCAAGCATCTGGACCAGCACGGGACGCTAGCCTTGGTCATGGACTACAGAATTCCTTCCTGAAGCGAGTCCCTGATGTAGCCTTGGCTGCTGTCGAATCACCCACACTGTCAAAGAGCATCGCCACAGAGCTCAGCTATCGGCCATCAGCAAGCATCCTCGCTTTTGGACATGCCCGACGTGCATCAGACCATAGCGTGCACAACAAAGCCCCATATATACCGATTGTCGCAATTCGATCCTGCTCAAGCAACGAAACTCTTCAGTTCTTCGTCATCGAGGCGGATAAAATTCGAATCCCAAGTATAGCTGATCTGTCGGACCTGGGCGCAGTGCCCTTCATCGCGCATAAAGCATCGGGATGCTGGACCGGCTCCACCGACAGAATACTCCAGGTGACCTCCTCCAGTTATTCCCAGGGGACGCAGTTTCTTGTTGTCAAGCCAAGCGGTACAACCGTCCTACGGCCAGTGCTGTCAAAGTCGAGAGCATCAGAAGAGCTTATAGAACCATTTCCAATCATCACTATCCCACAATCAAGGACGGGATCCCAACCTCATGCATTCGCCGCTTTCAATCCGCATGATCAGTGTCTGGTGGCGCTCGTAGACACCAGCGGGCAGTGGAGCATTTGGAAGCTCACAGGTAGGCGATTAGGGTCTGCCCGCAATTCATACCAGGCAACACTGAAAGCTTCAAATGCGCTCGGCAGTATTGAGCATCAATTTCGGTTCTCTGGCGCTTCGACATCTAGGGATACCTGGTATCAAGTTTGCTGGTTCACGAGCCGCGAAGGCATTATGGACAGACTCTTGGTTTACAATCGACGTTTTGCGGCAGCCTTTGACCGAACGGGATCATGCTTAGGTGGTGTCGACATGCGTCTGGGTTCCCAGGCGGACCAAAACTTGATCCTTGATGTCAAAAACAGCAGTCGTCGAAGCAGCCATGTATTTATCCTGACCACGTCACGCTTGTTGATATTCGACTCCTCACAGAGCAATGAGGACGACAGGAGCTCCGGCGAAGCGCTCAAACTGGCGTGCTCCTGGAATCATTACCGAGATCGAGCAGATTGGAGTCTTCGTATGGCCATACTTGAGTCCTCGGAAGGTACGTTTCTCTACTGCCCTATCGACGCGATGCCTAACATGTAGTCTCAGAATCGTGGGTGCTGCTTTATTCAAACACAAGCCATTTAGCTATCATATACCGCTTCGGACAAGCAGACGGGCAGTCAACAATAATGTCCAAGCAGGATCCTTCAACCTTTCAACTGCCACATCAGCTCAAAGGGCGCATGAAAGACGTCGATGATATTACGATGTGTCCCGTAGCCTTTTCAGGCCAAAGTCAGTCTGTCGGTGTTATTGAAAGTGGCCTTATCAAGCTCGTCGCGTGCTTAGCTACAGGAGAGGTCATCGAAGCGTTGTACAAGCATGAACTTGATCAATTTAACCTTTCAAGTCATCCAACGAAGACGTTCTCAAATTTGTCCATACCGCGAACGCTGAACCACCCAATCAGTTCTAAATATGTCATGGTGGATGATGATATAGACGATTTTATTGTGCCAGATGGAAAAGGAACAGATGACTTCGGTGGAAAGCCCGACTCTGAAAAAAATACTCCGGAAGATGTGCAATATATTCCTCCCAGTCCTCGACACTGGCAGCGTCTTTTACAATATGAAGCGCTAAAGAACAATGACAACGGGAATGTGTCTTTCGGATCGGCCCTGCAACAAGCCATCGAGCAATTCGAAAGCCGGAATGAGGAGAACAAGGTAACGTTTATCCAGCTGATCTCAGACCTTGCCGATAGGTGTCGGATCACGGAATTGGAACATGATTCTCAGCTAGCAGATCAATGGCTTGATACTCTCGAGCTTCAGGGCGATATCAATGTCCAACTAGCTGCGCATGTTGTGGGAGGAGTGCCCATTTCATCGCGCAGGCATCTACTTCTTGACCTTTACGAGGGTCTGGTCAGAGCATATCTCGGATCACTGTCCGACCAGGTCACGGATCGAGGTCGGGTCAATCGCGAAAGGCTGATCCGCCAAATAGTAGGGGATTGCTTCCTTGGGTCATTCGTGCTGACCCCCGCGGCAACTCTGTCTGTCTCTCCACGGCGATCCTGGTTACAGACGCAGGACAGTCAAGCTCTGTCTCCTTCACAAGGTCTGGACTCGGATGATCCGGAGAGCTCCCATGCAGTGACACCAGAGGCTCTTTTGGAGACAGAGGCACCGGCCGTCAGTCGCCTACGCAAATATGCATTATTTCGTCACGAGATGCCGCCTCCCTTGCTCGACTATCACGCGAATATCTCCAATATCCTTGCCCACCTTCCCGAGTCGATTGAGGAAAATCCCGCGGACTATTCCTATCAGCAAACTAATCAGAAGATGAAGCTTGCACATGAGGAGATTGCGGCAGAGTCACTGAATCCAAGGGAGAGAAAGAAGGCTCTCCGGTCGGCGGCTCGTCTCCAGCGTAAACTAGAAAAAACTCAACTGATCAGTCAAGAAGTCGCGACGCGACGAAACCTGTTGCCCGGCATCGGCAGCGGACCAAAGGCCTCCGATTTCCCTCAACGAGAGGTCCAAAGCAGTCAGCCAGTCGCACCCAGTTCGAGTCAAACAATTGGCCCAGCGCTGAGTATGACGCAGCCAGAGAGAGGTGCTTATGGGACCAGACAAGCAGAGAAAAAGGGAAAGAAAGGGGCAAAGAGACGGGCAGGCTTTTAGATATGGCCAGAGCTGATGGTGTGTTGAGAGTTCTAGCACTGGCAAACCGGTTGGTTGCCACTCGCCTTCTTTGGAAACGATGCAAGCTGATGCCAAGACCTGCCCAAAAGGGCTGAGGGATTTTACCCCGGATTTTTGGATTCTCCGAGCAGCCTTTGTGAGCCTGTGACGCGGTGGGTGTGGAATCGCAGGGTGGGTCGCACCAGGTCTGTTAGGCATCCTTCACCTGGAAGTGCGGGGGATGGCGCAGCCTGGATAAGCGTCAGGGGGCCAAAGGGGGGCCAACCTCGGGCGCTAACTGGACGAGGGTGAGGTGCTTGTCGCGTGAGGGCCTAGGAAGCTGCGGGATGCTCTCACCACCCATCAACTCTGCGGCGTCAGAGCTTGGAAGCTTGCTCGGGCACTCGGGTCACTTGACTCGCAGTGGAACATTGGATGCCTGGTACCTCTGAGTCTGGTGTCTCGCATCCTGCCATCCTGCCAACCTGCGTTCCTACCCCTCAATTGCTCTTGCTTGCCTGTCCTCCTCTCTCCTCTTGTCTCCCTCACTTCCCCCTTCTTCATCCCATCCCATCCTGCTATCCCACCTGTAGCCAACTCTTTCGTCCATCTCATTCAAACCATCCCCTCCATCGGGTATCTGTCCTCCCACTTCACCCATTGGTTCTTGGTAAGTATCACTTGAACCTTACATTGGTAGCCTCCTCTCCCGCCTTACAACTGCTCTCGGCTCTAACTCCTACTCCTGCTCAGACTCACCCATCACCCACCTTTTCACCAACCCCAGCCAACATGTCTGCCGATACATCAGATCTCACAAAGGTCGACTCTGCCATCGCTGTCGATGATGCCACGCACAAGGATGCCGTCAAGGAGACTAAGCGAAGAACAACATCCAGTGCTCCTGGTGTGATGAACATCAACGATCTTGGTAAGCTCACCCGTTGAAAGCTTCGATCACCTTTTGCTCACCATAGACTAGAGAAGGAGGGAGTCAAGATCGCCGTTGCTGCTGAGACGCAGAAGACCGGGTGGTAAGAGTGGCATTCCTCACTTCCCACGACCACTTGCAGCTGACTCGGTCAGGAAACTCAACACTTCACCTTCGACGGTCGAAGATCCCTCGATCCTGAAGAAGCTGCTCACTACTCCTCCCGTCAAAAAGATCGACCTACACTTCCCCTTGGGTCTCGAGGTCACTGCAAGGAACCTGAAAGGTGTCACGATAAAGGATGCACTCGATGCCATTCACAAGCAGTTCAAGAAGAAGGTAGACATGCCCCCTCCATTAACGATGGAATTCGGGCATTGATTGAAGCGGTATACTGACGCTCTTGATTTGCAGGCTGATGATGAGATGGAAGAACCATACCTCAAAGGCTTCGAATGGGATCCGGAGGAGTCATGGACGAGACTCAAGGTCCACACCCAGAAAGAAGGCCTACCAGTCGGCAAGAAATCCAAGAAGAAGGGTGGTGATGAGTAAACTGGTTGAACATCAATCAATACACATGACTAGGCTGCTCCTGGCTGAGCGGCGAGACCGACTCTCTGAATCACTACACAGACACTGATCCACGATGATCATATATGCTATCCCAAAAGAAAATCAGCTTGGTGTGCATGGCAAGGTGCTTTGCGGGCTCTGTTTCTCACTCATTCTGGCAACGTTTGCTCAACCCTGTGGTGGTGGATACCCAGATGGCTCAATCTCCTAGCTTAGACCGGCAATGACATTACCTTGAACTGATATTTGTGCTTTTATTGGTCAGCCTTGACCCTCTGGTGAAGCTGCGTAGGCTACTGGAGCAGTAGCAAGAAGGAGTTTTCTGCCGGAGTTGGCCGTTCAACCTGATATTGTTTGCCTGTCGTGGAACGCCTTGCGCCGCCGCGCAGAGTTGTGTTCCCATTCGCTCCTGAGCCTGTATTGAGCCTGTATCGATCATGGAACAAATTGTGAGATCCTTGAGGGAATTGACCTGGTAATCATCGTCATTCATTTAGGATTCTTTCTATTTATCAATTGCTACCACGCTTGAAACCTCAGATTCGCAGTGTGCTGTATTGGATTCGAACTCAACGATTTCCAGCAAACATGGGGTCAATCACCAGCGAACTGGATGTTGCCAACATCCCCATCGTCGACCTCTCGCCATTCACATCTTCGTCACCATCGATAGACACATCGCCATCCGCCCGGCTGAAGGCCGGACAAGACCTGGTGCGCGCGTTCCGCGAGGTCGGCTTCGTGTACGTCAAGAACCACGGCGTGCCACAGCCCGAGCTGGACGCGGCCTTCGCCCTCTCCAAGCGCTTCTTCGACCTGGCCCCGGAGGACAAGATGAAGGCGCCGCACCCGCCGGGCTGGAGCGTGCACAGGGGGTACTCGTGGCCGGGGCTGGAGAAGGTGTCGAGCGCCTTGGCCAAGGAGGACGACGAGGATGCGGTGAGGAGGTTGAGGGAGGTGCAGGATTTCAAGGTACGTGAAATTACTCATCATTTTATGGCATGCCCCTATTTTGGGTTTGTTGGTTCTTGCTATATAAGGGCGGGTGGGTGGATGGGGGACAATAATACACAAGGTATATGATACCAAGGTACAAGAGATGATCGAGGGAATATGATTGTCATTTTCGAGCAACCCCCATTCCCATTCCCATTCCCTCCACACGCGGTCGATTTCCTTCCCTTTTGAACAGATGTTTTTGTTGGTCTCTGTCTCATAAAGACAATAGGAAAGCTACGAAGTCGGCTCCGAGACCAACCCAGACCAACCCAACGTGTGGCCACCGCCAGAAGTTCTCCCGGAATGGCGACCGTTCATGAGCGCCTTCTACTGGACGTGCTTCGGGGCGGCTAAGCAGATGCTGCGGGCGTTGGCGCTGGGCATCGGGCTCGCCGACGAGGACCACCTGCTGCGCTTCCACGACGGCCACCACAACCAGCTCCGCCTGCTGCACTACCCGCCCGTAGCCGCCGCGGCCGTCGAGAGCGGCAAGCTGGCCCGCATGCCCGCCCACACGGACTGGAGCAGCATGACGATGCTGTTCCAAGACGACTGCGGCGGGCTGCAGGTCGAGCACCCACCGGGGACGGGGAGATTCGTCGACGTCCCGCCCCTCAAAGACACCTGCGTCGTCAACGTTGGCGACCTGCTCATGCGCTGGAGCAACGACCTGCTCACCTCGACGGCACACCGCGTCCAGCTCCCGCCCCTCCAGGATAGGTTTGTGGATGGCGCTGACAATACCCGCGTCACCCGCGCGCGCTACTCGATCCCCTACTTCCTCACCACGGACCCGGACACCGTCATCGAGTGTCTCTGCGTCGACAAGGATAATCCCCCAAAGTACGAACCGATCACGCAGCGCGAGTACGCTGCCATGAGGGCGAGGATGCAGTATTGATTTCTCCTCTCAATGGGGAGGTGAGCTCTGTGTCTGTGTGCTGCTCTATGTCTAAAAAGAGGATTGCGCTATCACGGTCCTTGTCGGATCATGAGGGGAGGCATGTGTTAGCGGAAGAAAGGGCTCAGAACTCAGAGTTCATGGTTGATCATAAGCCGACGGGACATCAGATAGATCAAATAGACCAACAAAATTGTCTACGCATTTTCTTGGGATCAAGAAACCCTGTGTTCCTGGTCAAGACACGAATAAGAAATACATTACGTCCGCGTCCACCTGTAATCGTACTCGTCCTTGTAATCAGCCAGTCTGCACCCTTGACATGATACTCCCCACCATCTGGTCCCCATGCTCTCGATACACCCTTTCAATCTCGGCGAGGTAGACCCGCGCTGCCTCCTTGCGACGCACACTGGCCTTGTCGGTCCGCGGGAGGGGCTTCCCACTCGTCACGAAGATGACGTGCGTTTTGGCGAGCTTGGCAATCACCGGCGCCTCGACGTTGACTTTGTCAATCAAGAGGTCGACCTCGTTGCGTAGCTGCGACTCTCCTCCATGCTCCACATGCCGCGACCCCTCGTCGGTGAGCTCGATCAGCGCGATGGTTTGGTGGTGTCCGTCGCCCCAGAGGAGCACCTCCCGGATCCGGTCGTGGCCCTGTCGAATCTTGGCCTCGATCCCCGCCGGGTGGAAATTGATCCCGTGCGCGAAGAGGATCAAGTCATCGACGCGGCCGGCGAATTTCCACGTGTTGAGTCGACGAGGGTGCGGCGCGAAGACGTCCCCCGTCGCGTACTCGTGCAGGTCGGGGAAGGTCTGAAAGACAGTCTGGCGCGACGCGGCTGTAGGGTCGTCGGAGCGCACTATGACTGGTTCGTACAAAGTCGGCGTGGTCGCGGTTAGGAGGGACCTCTGGTCATCGTCCGTTGGAGGCTGTGTCTCGCTGTCGGCAGTCACGGGCCGCCATTCTATGCCCATGTGGCATGCGTCAATCGAGAGATATTCCATGTCCTCCGTGCTAACTTGATAAAGAGGCCACCATCCGCTCTCTGTGGCGCCAAAGAATTGAGTGAGAGTGGTGTTTTTGAGGCGGTTCGTAAGGATGCTTGCCGCTCGAGGCGACAGTACACCTGAAATCAATGATTTAGCTGCGAAAGTTCAAGTCCAAGTTGGATCTTAACTGTTCGGTCTTACCGCCACCATACGTGATATGGGACAATGAGCTTAACCTCACCAGATCTGACTCCGAGGAGGCGTACCTCTCCAGCAACGCTGGTGCACAGAAGATACAGTCCCCCTTTCCGTGCTCGACGGCGTCCAGCAAATCCGTTGCATTCATGCTCCGGTCCGCAGGCCCAAAGACGTAGGTGGTCTTGCCAAAGACAGTAAAACACATCAGGATGACGGCGCTGATGACATGAAAGGGCGCAAATGGCACAATCAGTCGCCCGGCTGTGACGTTGAGAGGATTGACCCTGCGGAACCCCGGACCACCGCACTGACACTCCTCAGGGAGCTGAGTTATCTGGTCGTTGGCAGCCATCTGGGCATGCGTGATGCGTATTGGCTTTGGGAGGCCAGTGGTACCTGAGC